TATATAGTTCAAAAATATGTTTATAAGTTACTTAGAGTGCTTCCCCACTTCAGTGTGGTTATATAATTCTTTTGAAATATAGCTCAGGTAACTTTTTCTGTTTGTATTCAATTTTAGGTTTTTTTCTTCATCACTGTTGTTTTATTTTTTTCTCTGTGGTTCATCTATCGTATGTTTATTTTTGCACAACTGAGCAGATACATGTGTATTTTCTTTTTTCTCCTTATTTGTTACACAAATATATTATAGACATTTTTTGGTACTTTAGATTTCTCACTTGATAGTATATACTGGAAATCCATAATACATCAGTTCATAAAGGTCTTTCTCATTATTTTTTACAGCTGGAAAGTATTAGTACATTGTGTGGATGTACCATAGTTCATTCAACTACAGTCCTATGTATGGACGTTATAGGTTGTTTTTAGAATCTTGCAATTATAAACAGTGTTATAGTGATTAACTTTGTAGCTATATTATGTTGTTGGAGTGTGCCTTAAGGTATATTCCTAGAAGTGAAATTGCTGGGTCAAAAGGTAAACATGTAATTTTGTTCAATATTAACATTTTTACCAGCAAATTATGAGAGTGTTTCCCCAGAGTGCCACCATACAACTTGTCATGTTTTTAAATTTTTGCCAATTTGATAGGTATACAGTGGCATCTCAGTGTAGTTTTCATTTATCTCCTTTTGTAAGCGAAGTAGAACATTTTCTCATATTTAGTAATGGCCTAAATTTTTACTTTATTTTTATTTTTCTGAATTATCTATTTATATCTTTTTTGGTTTATTTGCTGTCAGGTTTTTGGTCTTTTTCCCTAAATTTTTATATGTTAGTGATGTTAGCTCTTTAACTATGATATATATTCCAGGTATTTTCTCCCATTTTTACATTTGCCTTTGACTTCGTTTATGGTAAGTTTTTTGTTTTGTTTTTTTGGGGAGGTGTTTGGGAGAGTGTTTATTTTTATGTACTCAATATATCAGTCTTTTAGTGTGTCTCGATTTTTAGTCATAGTTAGAAAGCCTTCACTATAGCCTGGATAAAAAGGAATTCACCCATGTTTTCTTCAAGTGTTTGTATGGATTCACTTTTTACATTTTTATCCCCAACCTGTTTGAAGTTTATTCTGTACATTTTGAGTGGATCTAATTTTTGTTTTTTTTTTTAAACCGAGAACCATATTTCTGAGAACTCTCTATTAATAATAAAAGTTTATCTTTGCCTCTTTGCCTTTTCACGAATAATCAAGTTCCATATTTATTCACGTCTGTTTATCAAGTTTCTGTACTAGCAGTTTTCAGACTTTTGGGGGACGAGATCCCATTAATATTGTTGAACTTTATTGAGGACCTCAGATAACTTTTGTTTATGTGGGTTATTTTTTCTCCACTTGATCTGTCTTGTACTAACAGGAGTGTGTTAAAGTCTTCCTAATATTAGTATTTCTGTATTTCCTTTCACCTTTTGTAGCTTTTGCTTTATAAAAGTAGTCATTGCGTTAGTTGATTCATAGATGTTCATAAATGTTTTATCTTCATGTTGAATTATAGCTTTTAGCATTAGTCTTTTTTGGTTTGAATTCTAATTTGCCTGGTATGCCTTTGTCCATGCCTTTCAGTTTAGCATTTGTGAATCTTTCTGTTTAACTATCTCTTTACTACAACGTATTCTGTTTCTTGCTTTGTGAGTCAAACTGAAAATCTTTTTCTTTTATTAGGCAAGTTAAAAGTTAAACACATTTTTAAAAGACATGTTTTTGATCTTACCTCCGTCATTTTATTTTATGATTATTATGCATATTATGTTATATTTTCTGTGTTTCTTTCTCTGCATAATGTATTTCTTTTCTTTTATTTTTAAGTTCTTTTTGATATTCAGGAAATTTTGTGCTTTTGCTCTAGTGTTTACCTTTATATGTATATGTATACCTTCATAAATGTCTTTATGTTCCCTTGCTTTCTTACTTAACATTTTACTATCTGGTTCATAATTATTGAATGGTATTGTACGCCTATCTATTGCCTATACATTAACAAATGAGCTCATTTTACTTTTCTCTTTCTGTGTGTGTTTGGCTCCGTTTTTTGTTATGTTACACATAACATATAGCATATATCATAAAACAAATTTATCTTCCACGTTCATCTCCACCTGCTTTTTAAATCTTTGATCTATAACTGAGATTTATAACTTGGTCATTTTGCAAGTTTCCCTAGTCAACTTCTTGGTTAGATGAAGTTCATCATTGTTATTTAAGACAGGTTCATGTGTACAGAATTCCCTGAACTATTGCATATTTAAAACTTTTTATAACCTTAATACTTGAAAAACAGCTTGGTTAGATATGGAATCATTTGTTTGTTTGTTTGTTTGTTTAATGCTATTTTGCTTTATATATTGTTTTTGAGAAGTCTGATGCCAATCTTTTGTTCTTGTAAGTTATTTCATCTTTTGCTTGGAGGCCCTGAAGATATATTTTCTTTATTTTTAAAGCCTTACTTTTAAAGTTTTACCAGGATATGTGTTAGAGTTGAACATTGCAGGTCAGTTTGTCCCCATCTGTTAGGCCTTTTCAATATGATTCAGATCTTTTTTCATTTCTGTAAGTTTTTTTCTGTTAAATTGTTTTATCTTCAGGCACTCCAATTATATGTAAATTAGATGTTCTTTTTCTGTCTTCCATTTCAAGAACTTGCTTTCTGACACATTTTTACCTTTTTCTTTATCTCATTTTCATTCTCATTGTTCTTTCAATGCCCTTTACAAAGGTTTGTTTTGTTTTGTTTCGTTTTTGGTGGCTTGCTAGTACACAGATTGAACCCTGGACATAGGCATTGTCAGCACTACGCTCTAAGCAACTGAGCTAACCAGCCAGCCCTCCTTATTTTGATTTTGTTTTTTCAGATTTATACTTTGTTAGACACCTAATAATTCAATCATTTCTAATATGATTTTGTCTTTTTCTTATACTTCTTTTCCTGACTTGAATTCAATTCTATTCTTGATTTGTCTTCTCTCATTTAAGGTGGGTTGTTCCCTCCTACCTCCCAATAACTGTACATTCTTGTTTGAAAATATTTAATTCAGATTAGAACATTGTGTTATAGTTTTCTTGTGCTTCACAATTGGTTTAGGGAGAGGAATTTCTATCAGTTGAATTGCTTCGATTCTCATTTTGGTTTTTTTGTTTTTGTTTTTGTTTTTGTTTTAAAGATGACCGGTAAGGGGATCTTAACCCTTGACCTGGTGTTATCAGCACCGTGCTCAGCCAGTGAGCTAACCGGCCATCACTATATAGGGATCCGAACCTGTGGCCTTGGTGTTATCAGCACCGCACTCTCCGGAGAGAGCCACAGGCTGGCCCATTTTGTTTTGTTTTTATAAGAGTTTTGTATAGATGAAGACTGCTCCTGCATTTCTGTGTACAAGATTGGTGGCTTGGGGTGGTGTATGAGATTCCTAGTTCAAGAGCTAGCTTCCTCCTCTGGCAGTTTAATGAAGTATTCTGTCTTTATTGGATATTTTCTTTATGGAGAAGAGTTGTAGGTCCATCAATTTTAAAATAATTATTTTTAAGTCTTGCCAGATCCAGAATTTCTCTTTTGCTTTTTTTTCCATTGCATGTTTCTGCAGGATGTCTCTTCATTCCCTTTTAACGTTCTTCTTCCCCTAAGCATTACCTTTCCTGTATGTACTTGTAAGTCCCTTCTTTCTACTGAATACTCTGATTTACCAGTACATTTTTCCAATATTCTCAAACTTAGGGTGGACTTTTTCTTTCTGGCTTGGTTTTATATCAATCTTAGGTTTGCAGTTTGTTCTCATCTTCTCTCTTTCAATTTTTCCCAAACTGCCCTTGCTCATTATGAAAGCCTCCTGTAGGAAAATGGGGAAAAGGTTACTGGGATTTGCTGTGTGTTTTCCTTCTTAGAGATAATTTGAAGTTTGGATGTTATGTCTTCTGGTTATACACAGGGTGTGGGTTTTGTGAAGTTTTTTTGGTGGTTTTTATTCTTTATTGTTCTTTTGGAGGATATTTTGGGAAATTTAGACTAGAATTTCTCCTTGAGTTGGAGAGTTCGCCTTTAATTCTTAAAGATCAGCAGATCTCTTCTTGTTACAGGATTGCCACTTTGATGGAACTAATTGTCAGTTTCGTGGCACTAATTGTGATGCTTATCCAATAAAATAGATACTGCTATTTTACTGCACATTTTGGAGTAAAGTATTCAGTTTATATTATCATTAGTTTAAAAGTATCTAGTGGGGGGCCGGCCCGGTGGTGCACTGCTACAGTGCGCCACTTGGGAGTGCGGTGGCGCTCCCGCCGAGGGTTCGGATCCCACATACAGACCGGCCGCTCACTGGCTGAGCGAGGTGCGGGCGCAACACCGAGGGTTGCGATCCCATTGCCTGTCCCGGTCCAGTACGGGCACGATACTGAGGGTTGCGATCCATTGCCGGTCACGAAAAAAGACAAAAAGGAAAAAAAAAAAAGTATCTAGTGGAACGATTCATTTAGTAAAATAAGTAACAATTTTAAAAAATGCTTAAAGTAGTCTTTCTGGCAGGATACTCAGTGAGGTGTTGTTAAATTAGTAAAGGAAAGTGTAACTGATTGTATTACATATGGACTAAAACCTCTCATTTGTGTTCTATTTTTCCTTGCCCAATTAAATAAGTATAGTTAGTTGATATCTGTTGTCTTTTAAGCTCAGTGTTTTTATATTAATTTTAAATAATTTTAACATTCCTCTTTTTATTATGTTTAAGGTTTCATTGTGCTTGCCCTGAAGTATGAAAGAGAAATCCAAAATGTTTATATATAATGTGTTAAAATTAGTTAGGTTTGGGTAAATATTCATAGTGGAACTTAGGGTTGATGGTTCCTGAAATGAATTTTGGAAACCCAAGAATAAGACGGCAAATTATTAACGTATTAAGAAGCTCTCATTATGAGTTTACAATTATAATGATTTTTTGTTGTTGTTACAGTTGGTGGTATCCTTACTTCTCTGCCTTCTAGACTGGATCATGGCCTTACCTCTGAAGACACTGCTCCAACCGTTCCATGCTACAGGAGCAGAAAATGATAAAACAGAAAAATCTGTACTCAATTGCATTTATAAGGTAAACTTCCTTGCTTTATTATTTATTTGGTAACCAAGGATTTTTAAAATTTAAATAAGTATAATGTTTTCATCGTTTTAGAGCTAGATATTTTCTAAGAATGTAAATTTAGCTTATAGTATGTAAAGGTAATTTAAAAGTAATTCCTGGTGCCGGCTGGAAGGGAGACACTCAAGAGACCCCTCACGCGCCTGCACACTGGGAGAAGCACCAGCCTCCTCGCCTCCCCAGCCCATGCCGCGCCCGTGCTCCCAGCCTCTGGGGGAGAGAACAACGTTAGAAGAAAGTTGTGGAGAAATGCCTGAAGTTGTCTGAAGATTCTCACGTATTAAAAGTAATTGCAGAGATCCTAAGATGGCGGTGGCTGCGGCGGCTAGCGCTGAGTAGCTGAGCTGGAAAAGGTGGCCATTGGGCCTTAGGCAGCCAGGAAACTTGTGGACCTTCCTCTTGCCGTCTCTTAAGGGAGGACCGCTGCTGGTGGCCGGTCGCGGGGGCTGACCGCCACTTTGCCCCCAGCAGGAGAGGCTGCGTTGTTTACATTAGGCAACAGCTTTGATGTGTGGAGCAGGAAAAGAACTGTTTCTTAGCTGCAAAAGCGAGTTTCTAAACAGGGAACATGGCGCCGGGGCTGCTGTAACTGTAAACACTGTCAGGATCCCGGAGGCCGGGGCCGCACTGAAGGCGGCCAGCTGCCCTATTCAGGATTCGAGGTTTCGGGCCGGCATAAAAGAAGATTCCTGGGAGCACCTGAGCTGCACCGCGGGACCGAGTGAGCAGCCCGAGGCGGTGGCAGCCAAGGACAGGGACGGCGATGACGCGGAGGTGGAGAGGGAATCGCCTGGCCCAGCCCAGCCCCATGAGTGACCCCCAGCCCAGCCCTGATCGCAGGGCGGACGCCTGCCCGGCATCCACCTGCCCCACCGGGCCACTCACTGGCCCCAGGGCTGACTCCATTTTCTCGGGTGGTGACGGCTCCGGCCCGGCTCGACCAGGCCTGTCCTCACCCGGCTCGGCTCCTCACTGAGCCTTCCCACTTGCTTGCCCCGGCGTGGGGCTTCCCGGGGCCTGCGGGCCGGCCTCCCGTCACACTCCCTCCGCAGTTCTCTGGCGGGGCTGGTGGTGTGGGGCGTCCCCGACCAGCGTCGGGAGGGCATGGAAGTGCAGGCCAGGCTGACTGTCACTCCACCGCACCCTTTCTCCGGCCCCTGGTAAACTTCATGTTACCAGGAGGCAGATACCATCTCTGCGGCCACCAGTTCGGAAAAACTCCTAACCGATTTCTGGTTAGGAATAGTGTGGTCGGAGTGTTCCCAAGGTCGCTTGAACCTGCCAGAGAGCTGTCTGTGGGCGGGTACTGGAGTCAGTCTGCGCTGGGGAGATTCAAAGGTGAACCGTGTGCTGCGGGCTCTTCCATGGAGGAGCTCACGCTCTGGTGTGGGAGATAAGACAAGTACACAAATAACCGCGATACCAGGAAGAAGGTGATAAGTCCCAAGAAAGATCTACACAGTGCTACAAAGGCACCCAGAGCGACCAGTCATCTGTGCCTAGCAGAAACCTGGAAGACTTCCTGGGTGAGGCGGTGCCGAGCAGGGACTTGAAGGCCTGGCTGATAGACGTGGGCTGCAGAAGACACGTCCCACCCCAGCCCAGTGCGCACAGAGCAGGGAGACGTCCGGATAGGGAGGCGGAGACTCGGCAGAAAACACACACCCTGCGGGGTCGCCACTGCGAGATCCAGCAGCCTGGGCCAGAGCTCACGGAACAGGGGAAAGTCCTGCACGGGAAGTGGAAGCTCAGCAGAGACCACACAGCCTGCGGTACTGCCCTGTGATCCAGCAGCCCAGCAGAGTCCAAGCAGACCGGAGAGGTGGCTCCCTGGAGAGGCACAAGACCCAACGCAACCACACACACAAGGCACTAGAGGCCAACTGAGCAGTCACGGAGGTAGCCATACCAAATTGGCAACCACAGCAACATCTTAGTTAGTCAATAGTCTCAAACAGGTGGACTTTGTAACCCCCTGCCACAATGAATAAACATCAAAAAAAAGATACCAGAAATACAAAAAAATCAAGAAGGTACACCACCAAAAGTTAATAAATCTCAAAGTCCTAGATCCTATAGAACAAGAAGTCCTTGAAATGACTGACAAGGAATTCCGAGTGATAATTCTAAGGAAACTGAATGAGATACAAGAAAACTCAGCTAGACATCATGATGAAATGAGGAAATGTATACAGGACCTAAAAGAGGAAATGTACAGGGAAATTAATGTCCTTAAAAAAAATGTAGCAGAACTTGCCGAACTGAAGAAGTTATTCAGCAAAATAAAAAACACAATGGAGAGTTTAAACAGCAGGCTTCTTGAAGTTGAAAAGAGAACCTCTGAACTTGAAGATGTTCTGTTTGAAATAACACAAGCAGACAAAAA